AAAAAATAGCCAGATCAGGCTAACACAAAATGATTCATACACGTTGACTGTTGACGTTGACTCGTGTCTGGACCTGATGAAATGAAAAGAATGAAAGGTATAAAAATTCAATCAATCGGTCATTATGGTGTGGTCCACTTGTATCGTCTACTTGCCTGAATGGAATGGTACTGTCGTGAGGGCTGATTCTTCAAAGGATGTCAAGAAGAATTCAATGAGTCGACACAGAGGATTTCCTACTGGTTCAGAATGTGTTGTCTCGCTTCGTATCAGATGAGCAATGGCCAATGAGGGATGTTTAAAATTTCATCATCAATTGACACCATCAACAAAACATCCAAGTGGATCCTTGGAATAGTTTCCCCTTCAGGATTTCCTGGCCTGGATTAATTCCCAACAGTAGATTGTTGTACATACCAATACGTAAGTCCCAAAACCTTCAAAGTACATTTCAACTTACCAGAATTTTTAAACGCAGCATTTGTGTGATTTTAAATTATGGCTTAACCTTCCTACAATCGCCAGCGACATGAGGGGATGGTATAAATCCAGCTAGGGTCCATGCAGGTAGCAAAGGTAGTTAAGTCCCGTGGTCCCTAGTATGGTGATCTACCTTCGGTTGCTGGCGATCCATAGCCCGTTTTTTATATTGTATTGTCCAAACTTGAAATCCAGTTTTAGAGATAGATACTAGTTTTATTTGTTGTGTCTGTTATATTCTAGTTGGTTTTATTGTCCTTCTTTGACAGGCTATTAGTGATTTACATGTATTTATGATGAAGTTAAAAACCTTTTTTAGTCACGATATTGCTGAGATATTGCCGATGTGACTTTAAATCTTTACTCACTTCCTCACTTGTACGTATACATATCGCCTATATGTTTGGGCTTTGGAGTTGTCTCATATTCGTTATTTAGTTAGTTTTCAATAGTTCTTGGAGACATAATACCTTACTCTTTAAGGACAATTTCGAATGTGAAAAAGAAAAGCAAATGAAATAAATGATATGTTTTAGGACTAACAATGTATGTACAATGTGAGTCAACCTGCTGAAAGAATGTCTTTTGGTGGTACATTTATATGTTATGATTCATTGTTCTTACTATTGACTTATTGATGTACATACATGTACGTGAATACATTTTCAATATACATCGTCAATACGTTTTGCTTGTTGGATCCAGTTAACTGTATTTGTAAAATGGCTAACTGTGATATCCCTATATCGTCCGATTGTCCACTTTCAACAATTAACTTGATATTATTTTTCACTTTGATTTCGATGACTCATGCTTGTGTGACGTCTGGGATATTGTAGCTGGAGGAGACGTCTAGACAATTTTGGAGGATATTGTTTCATTGATCTGCGGAGATACATCACACCAACCACAAGGTGATGTACATAGGGACAAACTACTACAATTAATCAAGCAGGGTTAGATTATTTTTTTATATCTATGGATATTGACATTATTATTCGATACACCGGCTCTTAAGTATATGTAATTCCAAAAAAGACAAATAAGCACAAAACAAACACAAAAACAACCCCCCCTCCCCCCAAACAAACAAACAAAAAACACCAACAAACAAACTAAACCCAAACAAACGTGTTGATAACGGGAAATTGCAATTTTACACTTATCATTATAATAGGAACCAATCCCCAGTATTAATGTGTACATAGTGACCAAGATTAATTTGGTACATGTGTGCTCAACTAACCTGAACTGAGCATTGGTGATTTACTGTATTTAGAGACACACCCTGTAAGAAAAAGAAAAGGTCATTGATATGCACGAAAACGAGCTTCATCTTCCATGGAAGAGATGACTGACTGACTGAGTTTGGTTTTACGCCGCTTTTAGCAATATTCCAGCAACATCACGGCGGGGGACACCAGAAATGGGCTTCACACATTGTGCCCATGTGGGGATTCGAACCTGGGTCTTCGGCGTGACGAGCCAACGCTTTAACCACTAGGCTACCCCACCGCCCCTGGAAGAGATGAAACTGTCAATACTGATATATGATATGATATGATATGATATGATATGAAATAAACTGCCAACTGGATTGAAAATGAAACAAAGTAACCTAAACGTAGCGAGAGAGATGGTGCCTGTTTGTGAGTGGTTGAGGTAGACTGAATTTGGCAGATTTAAATTGCAGATTTAAGCAAAATATGCTTTACCGTGACAAATAAATGATAACCTAAGGAGGATCATCGACTTTCAATAAGTATGTGTATGTCTCTTATGTTCAATATGACATCGTTGTCATATGTATGTGTAAATAATAGCGACAAAACCCTTTCCACATCCGTAGGAAATCTCAATGTTGGGTATATGTTCGTGTAATTTGTTGGACTTAATGTCCCATAACATTACTCTACACGACAGTGGGCCCTGTTCTCTTGCATAATACACAGAAAGGTTTCTGATCACTTTATCAATATATGTATACTGAATAGTGTTGATACTCCTCACACTAGTCCAATCCGTTGAAATGGCTCTGCAGCCATTAGCCGTCTGTTGTTTGATTTGCCGTGTGAATGGTAAATGGACTTTTGTTAAGTAATCTATGAGCACGTGCATGTACATGTGCCTTGTCTGTCACATTGTTCATTATGTGAAACGGGCACCACACTGTGTTGATTAAAAGGGTTAGTTCTTCACTTTCATAGAATGAACGAACATACGAATATCTAATTGCATAGTGGCATTTTTATGCTTCCAAATGCATTGTTACATGGTTTCTTTTTTGCTGTTTTAATTTTTGTTCGATGTTCTGTGGGCTAATTTCCTCTTAATGAAGGTTTACCCTTGAGGATTGTCCCTCGTTACTTTCTGGTACCTTGTTTGTTTCATGTCACCGAGATTTGTGAATTCAAATGGCCAATACCACATTTCAAGTCGGTAACATCATGTGGATGGGCTGTGTATTTTGTCAACATAGCTGCAGGTAATTTGACTTCGTCATAGCTCATTTTAAGTGATATTGCTATGCCATTTCCAGAGGAGCAATGGTCAGTATTCATGTACACTTCCGGCACTACCTCATATGTAGCGCCACTACCTCATATATTTATGTTTTGAGTATGTACATGTGAATGAATAAAATCTTCCCGAATAGTAATACTTAATATTAATGATATTATTATTAAAAATATCCAAGAGGACCCGAAACAAACGTTATGCCCAATGCTCGCGCTGTTAAACACTGGGATGAGAGATCATGGGAACCAGCCAAGTTGCCTTGATGGCTACATTAGTTAGCCTTTGATAAGGACCATAACCTCAAACAGGGCTATCAGTGACACTTGTGTCGTTGCCTATATTGTATCCATGCTGCCTAAAGCCAAGTTTCTGTTGGATCTATATTGTCTGTTGTCAATGTCCAAGTAACTAAACACTGACTTTATGCATGTGGAATGAAATCTTTCGGTGCTGAGGAAACGTTTGTGACGTTGATATTTATGCATGGCCATTGCTAAAGACCGCGAAAACACTTGTCTCTGTTTGAATGACACATGTCTTGCATTTGTTAATATATAGAATATTTGTATTTAGATAAACATTGTCATGTGGCAGTGTTATTTATTGTGAAACATTAGTGCAATGCATTGTGTAGGGGGCATTGGTGTGCTACATTAATACTTATGCTATATCAAGACAGAGTTCTGGTAACTGCTCCATGGTAGTGTAACCCTATGTGCCTTTTCACTATATTCGGACCCAGGGAGTTGGAAAGTCCTTTCCAATGTATATAAGGTAAGTTAACTTTTGCCACTCATCTCATATTACATCTCCAGTTACAAGAAGGCCAAAATTATGTGAAGATTATTCTAATCCTGAAACTCATTCTTTGCATATTTTTGGAAACTTGATGGTAAATATTACCATCTCTACCTTTGAGTTTGTACTCTCACTATCTTGTCTACTGGCACTGTAATGCCTTTGTAGTGAACTGTATTTATTTGTGAACTTAGTTAATGTTAGAATGCAACTGTTAATTGCATTACTTTTCTTTGTTACTTGCTTGATTCACACCGATTTCTTTTACAAACTGTATATGTTTCAAGTGGGGAAACAGCACTACTATATTTATTCATAATACATGATACTATATATAGTACAGTGATATTATCAATACTGCTATGTTAGTTTTTGTTTATCGTATCCCATTTCCAAATCGGTTGAAGTCTACTGACGTTCAGGACCTAATATAATGGAATGTGTTACTGCATCCTAAATGCACCAGTCACTGTATTTTGTGTCTACAAATTTATCAAATAGCTTTGCAAACAGAAGCATAAATAGTTACTTGTCATGTTTTAGCAAACGTTAGCGAAAAGCTGATTATGAACAAATACGTTCATGCTCTAATCCGCGTCAAAACGTCCATGCCTTAATCAAGTCATAAAATCAATACTCCACACTGACTGCCAACTCTGGGCATCAGATTACACCTTCCTTATCATGCAATCAATTTCTGTTATATGAAATGTGTATATAGTTCCTCAGTATTGGATTAGTTGAAATTGTAATTTGACAGTTTACACAACTGAATGCATTAGATTGTGTTTAATGGGATGGTCTGTTTGTATTGTGAAGCTTTTTATATTGATGTTAAAGGTGGTTGTATGATGTAACGTGGCCACGGATATCGACAGGAGCATGTGTTGAATTGTTCAATAACCTTACGTAAATAGTCACGTGACTCTGTACATGTCTGACACGGATTACATTCTCTTGATAAAGTGCGCCAGGTCTGCACCAGATTGCCAACCAGGGACGTATATGGTGTCCATCTGAACTGCAGACATAACTTCTAATTGTGAGTTTGATGTAAATAAAGTGGTTACAGAATTCCTAACCATTACCATCAGCCATGAGCTTAGGAAGAAGGAACACTGAAAAGTCTATTGAGGAAAGAATGAAACCTCTTCTGGTGTCCATGAAAATCTTTGGAGTGTATTTTGATCCACAACAGGATAACAATGCATTGGATCCGGAACCGTCACCGAATGGACATAAGAAAATATCGAAAGTCATTATGACATTTATCAGTCACCAAATGTACTGTTACATGGTTCTTCTTTTGCTCTGGTTCAATTTTGCCCGAGCTGTTGTTGGCCTATTTCCTCTCAATGAGGGTTTACCCTTGAGGATTATTTTCACGTCTTGGTACCTCCAGTGCACACTCAATGCAACTATCATGCTGGTTTCATGCCAGCGACTAAGTCACTTGCGATCCTTTTACAAACACTGGGATTCTCTTTTCAAGAACAATGCGACGAAAGAAATCGGATGTGGAATCAAATGTCCAATAGAGTATTTCAAGCTTGTAACATCAGCAGGATGGTGTGTAGTTGCCGTCAGCTTAACTGCATGTTTTATTGTCACTCTTGGAAACTCGCCAACGTTGAAGCCTGTCACTGGAGACTTTACTCGCCCATTTCAAGAGGAACCATGGGAGGTGTCACTCATTCTTATCCTGTATACTTTCAGCACTGGCGCATGGGTATTTCCTGTAATCTTCGTGGTTGTAGTTTCCAGTGTTATCAAAGGTCAGTTTCTAAGATTTAGGGATGTCCTCTCCAAGCAGATTCAGGAAGCAGGTGACAACATCCCTGCTAGTCTACCAGCACTGAGATCTCGTTACTCACAGCTTTGTCAGACTGTGGCTATCATCAACAGAACCTTCAAGTGGATCCTTGGGGTGTCGTTTTTCCTTCAGGTGCTCTTGGCCTGTTTTATTTCCTACCAGATGATAAATGGCCCAAAGGAGATTGTTACAACTTTTATCCATTCGTATTGGCTTGGAGGTTCTTTTGTATTCATTATTTTGCTGACAAGGAGCAGTTCAGATGTGAATGACGCAGTAAGTACACACTTTTTTATATTTTAATTGTGGAAATAGGGGAAGGGGTCAAGTTTCAAGATTTGTCATTACTTCGGGCTTTGACCCATTTCACGTTGACATTTCTCATACACTTTGTGATGTGTATATGCATGTAGGAGTACCATAATATGCATGTTGACGGCACGCATGAAGAGCAACCTCCTCTATGTGAGTGACCCGTGTGGACCAGGGGTAGAATAGGCCATCGTTAACTCACTGCTGGTCCTAAAAGACGACCGAATTGGGCAGTCTCGAGCTCTTTTTTGAAGGCTGTGGCTCATGGGCAATCAGGTTGAAAACTTGATCTCTATGTATTTAAGCAGATGACTATTTCATCTGAGTATCCTTGCCGCATGGTCGAACACCAACTTGTTTTTAACATTGTTTCCAACATACTCCGTTGTGGGTGGGTGCTCTGGTGATTAAACTTATACTGTAATCATACGACCATTACGACCCCCACCTAAAAACCAAAACAACAACAACAACAACAACCAACAAACAAAAAACAACAACAACAAACAACTAACATCCATTCAACACTTATCCTGGTGATAACGACCATAAGACATCCCAGTTCAATTGACTATTGACCACGTTTCCTTGTTATTGAGACGCACCCGTGAAGGTCCGGGTTAGAATATTGATCTTTAGTAACCCATGCTTGTCGTAAGAGGCGACTAACGGGATCGGGTGTTCAGGCTCGCTGACTTGTTTGACACATGTCATCGGTTCCCAGTTGCGCAGATCGATGCTCATGCTGTTGGTCACTGGATTGTCTGGTCCAGACTCGATTATTACAGAGAGCCGCCATATAGCTGGAATATTGCTGAGTGCAACGTAAAACTAAACTCACTCACTCACTGTTATTGAGACGACCCAATAACAGACACCACGTATATGAAAACGTTCGCACTATATATGGGCATACCAGGCATTGCCGGTGGTTCAATAAACGTTCACGTTTGGGTGCGCTGCTGCTTGAGTGCAGTGAAAGGCCGCGGTAAATGACTTTCACTGGTCACTGTCTCTGCCCACAAAACACTAAACACCACGAGCAAAGGAAGCGTAAGAGGCCGCGATCGATTGTTTGCCGACTTGACATCGTCTCAGAGATGAAAGATCAAGGCGTACTCAATGTCAATTCACAAAAAGTAAACACAATGAGACCATTAAAACAAATACCGATCTCCAAGATATTTTTATGGATTAAACTTCTTTTTTAATTTGTATAAATTAGAAATAAAAAAATTAAAAAAGAAGTTTAATCCATAAAAATATCTTGGACATCAATGTACAACTTCTAAATGCCACTGAAAGACAAAATACCGATCTGTTTTTCTTTTCTTCTCCAAATGCTCCAAACTCACTTAGATTACTGTAACATCAATGTTGATAGGTACATTCAGATCCTCTCATATGCTTCAGATGTCAAAAGTACGGCCATGTTGTAAATACTTTCACATTGTCTGTTGTATTTGCTCACTATTGTGAGAAGACACACGCAGCAGAATATTGTTACAGGATTTGTGGCAATAAACAATGTGTCAGCTGCGCAAGACATCACTCATCTTTTTCTAAAGACTTTGTCCAATTTGGAAACAACAAATGGAGATCAACAAAAAAAAATCACCTGAAACATTAGCTTTGCAGACACAGAAATACTTGTCCAAAACTTTTGACCATTGATCATTTAGTGCCTTAAGAATCATATTTCAAAAATGCTATTATAAATAACAAATATGCCTGGTCTAATTGTAGTTTTTCGATTTAGAAAAGGCATGTGACACAACATGGGAATACGGCGAATTAAAAGATTTACATGATTTTAGATTGCAAGGACGTTTGTCTCAAAATTCAGATACAAAGTATTAAGTGACAGACAATGGTTTCTACTCTGTCTTATAATCAGCATCAAGGTGTCCCACAAGGCATCATTTTGTCTGTCTTATTATCTAGCCGAAAACATTTGTAGTTAATAAAACATTTTAATTGATGGGTCGCTATTTGTGGATGATTTTAATATTTCTTGTGGCAAAAACATGCATACATGTACTTTTCAAAGGCAACATCAGTTATGTTTAAATATAATCTAGAAATGATCTTGAGAAAATGGAATAAAATTTTAAATATCAAAACTTATATACCATTCTCCATTTGTATAGAACACTTGTCCGTTCTAGACTTGATTATGGCTCAATCGTCTATGGAGGAACCTGCAAAAACAATATTACATTTTTAATTCTATCCACCATCGAGGTTTAAGGCTTTGTCTTGGAGATTTTCAAACTTTTGGTATGTTATGCCTTCAAACTGTTCATGGTGAATGGTAGAGTACACGGAGACGAACAAGGCGAATATACATACAATGGCCAGCAGGGGTCCAGTGTCAACGATTATTTTGTTTGCTCACCTGACTTTTTCCCATTTATACATATGTTAAATGTTGGTGGAAGGGTGGACTATGATCATTTACCGTTGGAATTGACTTGCCAGTTACCAGTTATAATAAATATGATATCGGTTGTCAAGATGTCTATTCCAAAGAAAGATATATCTGGAACGAGTCTTTTAGTAAAACATATTTAGATAATTTGCAGGGTAATATTACTTCTTGTTACGAACATCTACTGTGAAAACGGTGCTTTAGATGATTTTGTCCACGTTGTACTAGAATCAGCAGAATGTATGAAGAGAACATTTAAGTCAAACAAACAGAGCAGTAAGCCAACAGTAGATAAAGATTGCAAGACTGCTAGACGAGATGCTCGCAAAGCATTGAGAAGTTTTCGGTATAGACGCACTGAGAGTAATAGAAAATATTTTTGCAAGATGAGAAATAGATACAAAACTTCATGTAGAATACATAAAGGTAGGTTGCGTAATCAAAACCTAAGAAGACTTAATGAGTGTGTCCATAATCCCGCTAAATTTTGGAAACAAATCCATTCCTTTAGAAATCGATCTAATCCCAAAACAAATATTTCAAAACCTGAGTGGTTAATTCATTTTAAGAGAGTGTTCTCAAATGATTCTATTCTTCAGAACGATAACATTGTTTTTGATGATGATGTTCGTGATCTCAATCTTAAAATGGAATACGAAAGTATCGATAAAATGAATTTTAGAAACACAAATTTCTGATGATGAAATTAAAAATGCAATTAATCATTTAAAGAGTGGTAAGGCAGCTGGACCTGACAACGTTGTGATTGAAATGATAAAATGTTGTCAGGTCGCGTTAATGCCCTTCCTACGGAATTGTTTCAATTCGATATTTGACAGAGGTGTATTTCCAGACAAATTGTCTCGTTCAATTATTGTTCCATTGCATAAAAAGGAGCTTTAGACAACCCGGATAACTATAGAGGTATATCGTTAATGAGTATTTTAGGCAAGGTATTTACAACCATATTAAATAACAGAATTTCAAATTGGGCAAATATGAGAAACCTGATTCCTGAATGCCAAGCCGGTTTTAGGAAAGAATATTCAACTGCAGATCATATTTTCACATTATATGCCATAATCCAAAAATGTCTTTCACGAAGTAAACACAAATTATATGTTGCTTTTGTTGATTTCAAGAAAGCTTTTGACTCTGTAGATCGTTCCAAATTGTGGTATTGTTTAAGAAAATCTGGTTTACAAGGAAAAATGTACAATATTCTAAAGTCAATGTATTCTAACATAAAATCATGTGTACGTTGTGGTGATGATGTAACCGACTTCTTTGATTGTACCTTAGGGTTACGACAGGGCTGTATTCTAAGTCCAATGTTGTTTTCTTTCTGTATAAGTGAACTGTATTACGATATCACAATCTCTGGTAAACACGGTGTTCAAATGTTTCCTGATATGCTTGAAATTCTCATCCTACTTTTTGCTGATGATGTGATCTTGGTGTCCGATACTATTACTGTCTTACAAAATCAACTCAATATCTTAGAACGTTACACAAACGATTGGAAACACTCTGTTAATTTCGAGAAAACAAATATTGTAATCTTCAGAAGAGGCGGTCACGTCGCTTCAAAAGAGAAATGGATTTTCAATGGCAAGTTACTGACTATCGCTAATCACTATACCTACCTGGGTCTTATGTTTTCTCACACGATGAATGTTAAAAAAAGTGTTCTTGATTTGCAATTCCGTGCAAAGAAGGCTTTCATAAATGTAATGTCTGTTTCTCAGAATATAGGCACCTTCACTCCAAACATATTTCTCAAACTGTTTGATTCACAAATTCAACCGATTATGCTTTATGGGTCAGAAGTTTGGGGGTTTCAGCGTCAAGAATGTCTTGAGAAATTTCATCTCTTAGCTTGTAAAAGATTTCTAAATGTTGGACAAGCAACGCCAAATTGTATGGTTTATGGGGAATGTGGGAGATATCCAGTTTATATAAATTCACAAATCAGATGTTTGAAGCATTGGCTAAGATTCTGGAAATGCATGAACAACGAATACCTAAAATAGCTTATAATATGCTTGTTCATCTCGATAACATGGGCAAGACAACTTGGGCTTCACATATTAGAAATCTTTTATTTTCTCATGGCTTTGGATTTGGCATGGTTAAATCAGACAGTGGGTAATGTAACTCTTTTTCTTAAACGTTTCCGAGAACAGTCAGTTAATATGTTCCATCAAGAATGACATTCGACTCTCGAAAATAGTTCAAGGGATGATCTATATAGGTCCTTTAAGAGCCTTATCCAACCAGAAATATATTTATCTGTATTGACATCAAGAAATATCAGACGCACATTTGTTCAGATCCGACTAGGTCTATTAGATTTAAGTATTAATAAGGTAGAAGATTGTCTATAGAAAGAAATATGAGAATTTGTCCATTATGCACTTCATCTACTGAAGATGAAATTCATTTTATATTTATATGTCCATATTAGGATGATCTTAGAAGAAAATATATTTCAAGTAGCCTTTGTCTCGATTCTCACTTCCAGAAATGAAACTGTTATCCGTAACCTTTCTCTATTTGTAAAACATGCTGTTGTCTTGAGAAATGATAGGTTATCCAAGTAATTTCATAATTGCCATTGTATTATGTATTATAGTTATGTATATGTATGTAACTCCTTGTATATGGGCCGGAGGCCTTGAATACAATAAACTTGACTTGACTTGACAGTATTTACAAGAATTTATCAGTTAAGAAATACAAAATAACATAATATATACAAATCTAGTTTTACAGATTGATCAAAGGATCCGGAACAATTCCTTCTCGATTACGAGAAAACAGTTTCACAGCAGGAACAACCGCTATATTAACATCTCTTAAATACACGAATAACATTCCAAGTATTAACAATGTATAATATTTTCAGACTCACTTTCGTGCATTCGGGCTTTTAAAGTACGTCATGTAAACATCAACTTTTAATCGAAATACTTGAAATTCTTAATGATCTTGCTACTGGCCAATACGACATCGTCTTTCGTTGGTTACCCATCCATGTGGGAATTTCTGGTAACACAATGGCTGATTCTGCTTCTAAAGCAGCACTCATCACCTTCTGATACCATACACTGAGTTCAAGCCGGTCATAAAATGTTACATCAAAAATCTAATACAAAAGAAGTGGCACACCCAAGTAGGTATCAACAGACTACATGAATACAACCAACTATCGGTTACATCTATTTGAGCCTTCAATCCTGATTTGAAGAAGTCATTTTATGCCGATGCCGCATTTGCCACTGTAGATACAATCGTGAATATTTATTAAAAGGTGAAGATCCTCTGTTCCGTATCACCTGTGATCAAAGAATCACAGTCCACTGCATTGATTTTTCCATCACAAGGGATTTCAAAGCTTCATCCATGAAGGGTCGTTTTAATAATGTTGTCTTCATTAAATGGTGTTTTCTAAAAGATACAGAATTGATTGAAAAATTTGATTGAGATGCTTGAATAGATGAATGTTATTTATAAATCATCATATTAAATTTGCAACAGATCATTAGTGGCTGTATCCTCAAAGGGGGTTGAAGTACAATTACAATCCCCCTGAGTTGTTGACGATCTAAAGCGCGTTTTTATATTCTAATGTCTTTAATAGTGATATCATTTTAAAGTCACATGCTAGGTTTAGATCTATATCTGTGATAATATTGCTGCTTTATTGTCCTTTGTTGATAGGCATTTATATCATTAAGCTTTTTTAGTATATTATGATTTATGAGTATATAGCTTTCATTGTCACAATATGGATGAAATACTGCCGATGTGACTTTAAATTTGAACTCCCATGGTCCCTAGTATGGTGATCTACCTTTAGTTGTTGGCGATCCATAGCCCATTTTTTATACTGTATTGTCCTTATTCCTATGAAATCCAATTTTTGAGTGAGATTCTAGTTTTATTTCTTGATACTTTGATATTCTAATTGGTTTTACTGTCCATCGTTGACAGGTTTTTATAATTTACAAGTATTTATGGTAAATTCTTGTTTTAGTCACCATATAGCTGAAATATTGCCGATGTGACTGTAAAATAAATAAATGGTGTCTTGAAAACGGCTTTAAATTTTCTAAATCAAAACAAATTGTCTACACTTCTGTTGAAAATATAAGCCTCATAAAGACCCAGAACTGTTTTTAAATGGTACTCCCATCAAGGTTGTAAAAGAGGCCAAATTCTTGGGTCTGATTTTCGACTCCCATTTAACTTTTCTTCCGCATATTAAATCCTTAAAAACTAAATGCCCGAAGGCACTCGATTTATTGAAAGTCGTGTCTAATTCAAGGTGGGGAGGGGATCAAGCTACGCTCCTACACCTTTACAGATCACTTGTCCGCTCGAAGCTTGATTACGGCTCTATCGTATATGGTGGGGCCTGTAAAAGCAACTACTTGATTCTATCCATCACTAGGGTCTAAGACTTTGTCTTGGGTCTTTCAGAACCTCTCCCATTGACAGTCTCTACGTTGAGGCCGATGAGCCATCTTTAAAACTTCGCCGTATCAAATTGTCCCTACAATATATCACAAAGTTATATTCTAATGAATCCAATCTGCTCACACTTGCGTTTTTAATCCTCTTTATGAGGATTTGTATAATTAAAAAACCTTCACTTGTCCCACCTCTTGGGATAAGAATCCAACAATATATTTCTGCTGCTGGCATTGATTTGGAGATTATATCTCCTTCCCGTCTTCTTTCTTCTCCTCCTTGGCAATTGGTGAGGCCACAAGTCGACCTAACACTCACTAAATTAAAAAAATCAGAAACTAATGACTTACAATATAAACAAAGAATATAATCAATTAAAAGTAAATATAATACATATAAATCCTTATTTACAGATGGGTCCAAGGATGGTGGCGCGGTTGCTTGTGCCACTGTCATTGGGTCCAAAACAATATCTTCCAGATTACCCACTGACAGTTCCATTTTCACAGCTGAAGCAAACGCAATCCTCACAGCTCTCAAATATATAAATAGACACCCTAAACGTAAACAATATATAATATTTTCTGACTCTCTTTCTTGCCTTCAGGCTATTAAAAATATTTCTTGTAAACATCCACTTTTAATAGAAATTATAGAATTATATAATGATCTTGCAACTGGCCAATGCGACATCGTCCTCTGTTGGTTACCCAGTCACGTTGGTATTTCTGGGAATACAATGGCCGATCTTGCTGCAAAGGCAGCACTCAACAAATCTGTGACACCACTTCTTATTCCTTACTCTGATTACAAAGCAAGCATTAGAACCTACATCCGTGATCTGATGCAGAAGAAGTGGGACACCCAAGTAGAGTATAAATAAATTACATGAAATAAAACCCTATATTGGTTATACCTACTTGGGTTGTCAGTCAGATTTGAAGAGGTCATCATGCGACGATGTCGTATTGGCCACACTAGATATACTCATGAGTACCTATTAAAGGTGAGGATCCTCCGTTTTGTATCCCTTGTGATGAAAGAATCACGGTCAAGCATGTCCTGCTTGACTGTGTTGAATATTCCATCACAAGGGATATTTATTGATACTATGATATTCTAATTGGTTTTACTGTCCATCGTTGACAGGTTTTTATAATTTACAAGTATTTATGGTAAATTCTTGTTTTAGTCACCATATAGCTGAAATATTGCCGATGTGACTGTAAATCTTAACTCACTCACTCACTCAAATTTGAACTCACTCACGAACTCATTGCATGTTGACAAAGGGGTGCAATAGTGAGGGTATTAAACCACGTCTTTTTGGCATACATGTCATTAGCTCGGAGTGAATAACTGCTGTCTAAATGTTCAATATCACAGATTAACGAATGTCTGAAAGATGAGCATGTGTTTGCTGTTTAGATATATAGTTAAAACTGTTTCAGGCCCACTCTTTGCTGGAGGATATTTTCCAGATTGGGACAATAAATGCCACAACAGAATATCTAGGACAGGTCGGTGAATGTTTTTGCCACTAATGGCAAAAACGTATTTGAATTTATTTGATTTGTATTGTACCCTATTGGTTTAATGTGGCCTGGAAATTAATCCTAACTGGGTCCTAAGTGGCGATATATAGGTATAGTCAATGGGACCTACATGGATTGCGTCAGTGAAGGTGTTATTATTCACTTTGCCCGCATGTTGTCACTTTTGATGCATAAAATATATTTTTTAAGACTTCGTTGTTTCGACCATTTATCTCGTTGCATTAACTATTTTCTCTTTGTTTCGACTATTTTCTCTTTGCTTCAACTATTTTTCTCGTTGCTTTGAGTATTTTCTCGTTGCTTCGAGTGTTTTCTTGTTACTTCAAGTTTCTGTCAAAAACTTGAAATTCCGTCTCTGTTTAATGGTATTTGAAGCTTGTAAATGGAATTTGTTGTATTCCCCCTGTTGTCGTGTATGTAAACGTTCCTGCTTTGAATACGAAGGTAATTCGATATAAGTACATACAAGTGCACGCACGCACGCACGCACGCACGCACGCACGCATAATATAGCGACTAAACGCTGGCTTTTATCTCGGATAATAGTCATCAGTGTCAAATACTATTGGTAAGTAAAGAAAATCAGGGATTTTTACAAGTGTAGAAATAGACATACACAACCAAATAGAAAACCTTACGCTCCTAAAACTGCGCCCAACAATTGAATTAATGAGAGCATTATTAGTAAATAATGCATACTTTGTTTCAGCTGAACCTCTTTGTCTCCCAGCTGACAGGAACATCCACTGGATTTACGGCCATGAACTTCTTTGTCATCAGAAAGGAGTTCCTTCTGACTGTAAGTTGCAAAGTCAACAATTCATACCATGAAAGCTTACATCTCTCTTGGCACAGGGCAGTTGAAAATACCTGAATTCAATATGTCACTGTGCAAAGACACTATTACGTGTACATTGTGTTTGGAAATCGAAAAGTAAGTTTGACAGATAATCAAGAGGACGGCATGTTTTCCTTCACAAAGTTGTCTTTTGATTTCCCGTAAACTCATTGTGGATTCTGGGTCACATGAAGATGCCCAGTATTACATGTCTTTTATAAGTATTGGGTTACATAGGTGACATTATATGGGTTATTTCATGCTGTGATCTAGGTGTTGAACGGATTATTAACGGGCCACTTAAATGCTAAACTACAGTTAAAGCTGACTTTCGTTTACTGCATAATTAACTCCATATTCATTCATTTCATCATTTCAGCTGGGTGGTCTGTTCATCACCTACTTCTTCGTCCTGATGCAGTTCAAGATATAGACTGACATGTGGTGGCATTTGAATAGACATTCAAAACATTCCACAAATTGTGTTTATTTCACAACTGGATCATCAAACAACGTACTGTATGACACAGTAACAGCAACTGCAGCTGTGTAAATGATGTTGCTGTGATCATTGAAAACCATGGCAACTATCAATGGTCCACTTACAGATTCACTTTGATGTATAGATACATTTTTCATCTCTTTAAATAAACTTGACATCAATTCTCAAACTATGGCATTATTACTTTTATCGATGGATTCATATCTGTGTTAAGGATAGAAAAGGATTTATGTTTTGCATACATTTCGCTGTGTCACTGTAATCTGCGACTGCCCTTTCCACTCTATTAGCTAGGATTCTGCAGTGTGTGTGTGTGTGTGTGTGTGTGTGTGTGTGTGTGTGTGTGTGTTGTTTGTTTGTGTCATGGCATCGTTTCAATAAAATGCCACAATCCAAATTTCACCGTCTGTTTGGTACCTGGATGCACATCTGCTTTCCTAATACTGCACACACTACACCCATTGTGGGATTCAACATGTTTATGATAGTCTGTTAAACAAACCTTTTTTTTATTATTAGGACATAAATTCTGCAAAAAACTCACGGAGTTGGTCTGATGTTTTGATTATGATCAGCGTTTCATTGAGTATTATATGTTTATTAGGTTTCGAGTTAGATTGCAATTCATCGGTCCGCTTTTGAGCCAAACGGACTATAGATATACTCAATGGTACGAACTGGTGTCGGCTGATATCTTCGTTAACTTGTCGGTTTTAAGTTAGACTTGAATGTTGTACATACTCTTGAATGCACATCTTTGTCTTGAATGAATATTTGAAACCCGTGAACCTCCCATGCAACTGGCTACGGTCTATATATGAAAGGTATCTCTTTAGATTTGGCCATGGTTAAAGTGCACTCTTTGTAAGAGAATATAGAAATGAATGACAACAAGATACATTTGGGATTGTTCAGCGTGTACGTTTACAAAAGTCTGCAGGGAAGGGATCTCTGAGTACACTCTGAATGTAAGCAATATTTTACTTGACTTTGTGGATGTATAAACCTAGAAAACTATACATGTATCGTTTGGCAGGCCAGTGATTGGACATTGTTTAAATGGCTGGTGACAACAACAGTAGAAATTCATTTGCAAAATGACACTGTTTGTCTTTTTTTTAAACCCGTATAGTTTACCAAGTGAATAAGTGGTAATTGTTTTAAGTGAGTGATTGAGCGAGTATGGTTTCACGCCACTTTAAAGCAATATTCCAACACACCAGAAATGGGCTTCACACACTTCTGTATCACAAAACTCTCTATTAATGCAAACAACCCATCATTTTGTCACAAGCTTATGGAGGAGTTCCTTGGTCAGATAAATGAACCCAAGTTACCCTCTGGCAAGAGTGACATAGACCTAGCAAAATCAGAGCCAACACTGACAAGGATGTGAATGGCACGCCGTCTACAAGCATCTCAGCTTCAGAGACATCTTGGTATCCCTTAACATGTTTAGCTCCCTTCACATGGAAAGAGATTCTGGACATCATCAATGCCTCAAAAACGGCATCATGCACACTGTATCCAGTTCCAACTAAGATTCTTGTAAATTACCTGGATATTCTATTACCTGTTCTCACTATGCTTGTCAACAACGGCTTAAAAACAGGCATCTTCCCTGACGTATTCAAAGCTGCAGTCATGAGACCTTCACTCAAAAATCCCAGTCTGGACTGTAATGCTTTAAACAACTACAGGCCAGTGTCCAATCTGGACTGTAATGCTTTAAACAACTACAGGCCAGTGTCCAACTTGTCGTTTCTATCCAAAAATATGGAACGAGCTGTAGACATTAGACTCAGGGAATATCTCTCTTCAAATGATCTCCTAGGGAAGTATCAGTCAGCCTATCTACCCATGCATAGCACGGAAACAGCTCTTGTAAGGATTGTAAATGACCTAAGGTGCTCTGTCGACTGGTAATGTTTCATCTTGACTTGATCCATCAGCTGCATTTGACACTGTGAATCATAGACTCACCAGTCGACTCCATGACCAGTTCCACATTGCCGAAACACCACTGTCATGGATCACATCCTATCTTCACAACAGAACACAAGCAGTCATCATAAATGACGAAGTCTCTGATAGTGTCAGTTTGGACTGTGGAGTCCCTTAAGGGTCAGTCCTTCGCCCTGTGTTGTTTGTGTTACACACAAACAGTCTTGGGCACATCATAGATCAACACGGATTGAATCATCATTCCTACGCTGATGGCACACAGTTGATGGACAGTTTCAAAACCCAACATCTATTGACTTCCCTTACCTGTACATGTACAACTCTCTGTACTCAACATGTAAAAGCATGGATGTCAAACAATGATTTAAAGTTGAATGACGAAACTGGAATGCAATGAAATAACTGTTGTTGACTCTAACATTAGGTTTTCCTCTAGTGTGAAGAGTCTTGTGTATTTATTGACTCTTGCCTCGCTATGGATGCGCACGTGGACTACATATGTAAAACTTGCTTTGCTGAACTCTGATGCAGGCCTTAGTCATGTCTAGACTAGATTATTGTAACAGTCTCCTCTATGGCATCAACCACGAGCTCCTTACACGCCTTCAAAAAATCCAAAACAATGCAGCAAGAATTTTCACCAGGACGTCCAAACAGTCACACATCACCCCAGTTTTGAAAGCCCTTCACTGGTTGCCCGTAGAGGCAAGCATCCACTTATCTTAGATCACAAGGCCCCCAGAAACCTCCGGTCAGACCACCAACATCTCCTGACTGTTCCAAGAACTAAACTGAAACTCTCTGATGAAAAGGCATTCAGTGCATCAGCCCCCATACTTTGGAACAATCTCCCTCTCGCTTTCACCAAGCATTGTCATCTCAAAACCCTAAAAACATGTTTTGCTAAATATTACTCTGAATGATCTCTTCCAGTCCTTTTAAGACTTTTTTACTGTTTCGTACAGTATATCAGCACAAGAGTGTGTGACTTCCACAAGCGCTTTGAGCATGCATGTTGGATGGACTATAGCGCTTTACAAATAACCATATATATATATATATGTACCCATGTGGGGAATCGAACCCAGGTCTTCCGCGTGACGTGTCAACGCTTTAACCAATAGGCTACCTCACCGCCCCGATTGTTTTGAACTTGTATTGCAAATGGGCACTATGCAAACTCGGCAAATAAGTCCGCCTTTATCCTCGTTATCGTCTAGTAATGGTGTAATGTTTACCAAACACTCATCTATTGATACTACATATTGCTGTATGTTCTGTGTTCTGTTCTGTTCTTTGTATTCTGTAGGTATGTTCATATATACACTACAGACATGTGATACTTAAAAGAACCCTTTAACCATGGTAAGTTTTTAAAAAATGAACAAGGGAAGTCTTGAAAGTCTATGAAGAAAATCAATTGAACCGTTCTTGAGATATCTTGCTGACAATCCTACCATGCAGTTTAATATGCTGAAATCTTCAAAGTGTCGCCGTGAACTTGAACATTATATGAAGGTTACTAAAATCGACTATGCCTTGCACCTTTCCTAGATGAAGCTTGGTGTCAAATATGAAGAAAATCAAGTTAAAGGTTCTTGAGGTATCTTGCTGACAAGCTTAACATGAAGCTTCACATGCTGAAATCCTCAAAGTGTCGCCATGAGTTCGAAAATTGAGTGAAGGTCATCAAAATCGGCTGGGCCCTGCGCCCTCCCTAGATAAAGCTTGGTGTTGAATATGTAGAAATTCCAGGTAACGGTTCTTGAGATATCTTGCTGACAAAGGTAAAATATTAATGTCACCTTGTGACATTGAAACGAAGGTCAAGGTCACCAAACCTGACTAGAACCTTTCTTATACTGTGATGAGCCTAGGTACCAAATATGAAAGGAATCTAGTCCACAGTTCTTAAGATATTCCAATTCGTACGTGCGTACGTATCGACGGACGGACGGACGGAGCCTAATGCTATAAAAAAAAGAAAATGTCTTCAAGTACACACATTGTTGTCTTCATTTAAGATAATATTATTTTGTCTGCTTTCCTTTAAGGGCGAATCACTCCGAAACCATCGTTGCCTACTTTGAAATGGGTGTAACTCTATTGGCGATTGGGGCCAAAAGGAAACCTATCTTGACTCTATCCTAAATGTTATGTCAGTGTATTTTCTGTCTACAAATTCCATCAAATAGCTTGCAATGCTATAAATCATAACCACGTCCATGGATTTAACAGATTCAGAATCAATACTCCACACTGACTGTCAGCTCTGTACTCTCTATTTTACTTCAGATTAGACAAAACCTTCACTTATTAGCTCATCACTCTCTTTTACATGAAATGTGTTTTCTGTTTCCTCGATATCCGATATTTGGTGGAAATGGGAATTTAACCTATTATCACAACACGTGAATGCGATAGATTGCAGTTTTCAGTGTGATGTTATGTTTGCATTGTAAAACTGTTATATGGGGATATATGATGTCTACTGGTGACTACGGATATCAAAGGGGCTTGTATTACCACGTTGACATCCTTACATAAACAGTCACGTGGCTCTTTCTCGCGTCACGTGGTAATATTCTGTTGATATAATGCGTCCTTTTTCACCAGATCGCCACTTAAGCAGGTATACCGTGTTCATCTGAACTGCAGACACAACTTCGGTTTATCAATCGGAGCTTCAGTCAAGTTTTAACAGGATTATATAATCATAAGCACCAGGCATGGAAGTAGAAAGAAAGAACACTGGAAAGTCTATTGAAGAAAGATTAAAACATCTTCTGGTGTCCATGAAAATATTTGGAGTGTACTTTGACCCACAGCAGGATAGCAATACATTGGAACAGGCACCGAATGGACGTATGGACATATCTACTCGCATACTGGCTTTCTTCAGCCACCGAATGTATTGTTACATGGTTCTTCTTTTGCTCTGGTGCAGTTTTGTCCGAGCTGTTGCTGGCCTATTTCCTCTCAATGAAGGTTTACCAATGAGGATTATTCTCACGACATGGTACCTCCAGTGCACACTGAATGCAACAATCATGCTTGTTTCATGTCACCGACTTAGACACTTGCGATGCTTCTACAAACACTGGGATTCACTTTCCGAGAACGATCTC